CCTAAATCACTCGTACGCACAACTTAAGAACAAATCTGTGCGTATGAACGGTTCTTGCATGAGGCCCATTGTGAGCAAAGGTGTGCAACAAAATAATGTGCACTGCCTAGAATACAGTTTTGCAAGTTGTACACACAAAAATAAACATGGGTTATTTAAAACCAGCTGGATTGTATCACAAAACTAAGAAATCAGGCAACTAGTTGCCCAACACCAAATTTTGCAGCCCATTGAGATAACCATGCTCTTAGAATGTTACTTACTGTATGCATGTTTGATGTGTTGCTAATGCTGATGTTATTGCCACCTGGTGGTGCGGAGTGGGTACCTCAGTGTTAAATCTTCCTTGTGTAGATGGGAATAAATTGTTCATACAAAGAAAAAAAATATGTGGTGCAATGAATTAGTTGAATTTAATCATATTTTATGCATGTTTTGTGTATTCTTTATACAGAGTTTTTAAAAATCAGACCCATGGAGAAAAAAAGACAATATATTTCCTTGCTTACAACATTGCAATATATCACAATATTTCATATCACGACGAGTGTCATGATATTTATCACCTCACCAAATTCTTGCCAAACCCAAACCCACTACTCTTAAACGTAGTGTCCAAACAATTTTCCATTTGAATCAAACTAAACTGCAACTTCAAATAACTACAGGAAAGATTTTAATCCATTACAGCCATTTGGCGCAGAAATTCAAATGACAAAAGATTTAACAGAGCAGGTCATGTCTTTTCACTCAACTTATAGTGAAGGCAGCCATATTTGTCAAATATTTAATCAAATTAAAGACGACAGTGCATTGGAGGTCCTTTTTGGTTTTGCAGCACATTCAGTAATTGTCCTATACTGGCAAAATGTAAATGTATGCACATATTATCATTTACATATATTATTTTTAAATAGAAATAGCTATAGATGCTGTTCAGGGTGAGTCACTGCGTTATGTTCATCTGGTCAAAGGAGGGTCTGTTCAAGGCAGGAGGCAGACATCCTAACCTGCACTGCTTCATTTCTCCCCGAGGGACAAATCTGGCCACAAGCAGAACAAATCGGGCCCCCTCCCACCTCTTTGATTATGTCCACCTACAAGCCCAGCCAATAAAGAAGAAAGTTAGCCTGATAAACAGGCTCGGCACCTGGGGATACACACTGAGTTGCTGCATGGTTGGTTCAACAATTGGTTTCTCCAGTAAGGGAGAGAGAGAGAAAGGAAGCTAGAGAGAGCAAAGCTTATTAAAGATCATGGATGGAAGTGAACCATAATCCTGTAATGAGCAGAGCAGAGAGTGGCCTCTTTTCCTTTGGTGCAGACAAGCCCGTGCTTGCATGCTTCTCAGAAATAAGATTGCTGGACCCAGTAGCCCTTCTGTAATGACCCCTCTTGTTAGCTTCAGAGATTCATGGCTGTTCATTAGAGATATACAAAATGGTGGTTATACCCTCCAATGGAATAGGCCCTTCACTTGTAATATTTTAACTTGAAATGGTTCAGATGTTCCTAATTGGCTCATCGCTCATAGGAGAACCAAAAGTTTTTTGAAAAAGCCGATATTTTCTTCATGAATAAATAAGTAAATAAATAAAATATGTTCTTCATACATAAAGATTAGTAGAAAGAAAGTTAATTTAAAAGCAATTTTTTCAGACAGAAGCAAATTGAGTTCATTTTTGTAACCTTGTCAGTAACAATAATATTTTCAWCTCAATCGAAATTGTTAGATCTTACAATGCAGGAAACCTCGAATTAGTTTTGTATAATGATCATAACCAATGAGATTTTACTGACTTCATCTCATTCATTCTGTACTTGTATGATTTTTCATTAAAAAAATGCGTTTTTTAAATTGTCATTTTCCAATCACTTGCCACTCAAAGCAGCTAAATTTCTGAAGTAAATGTATATAAAAAAATAAAATAAAATTGATGCTTCCTGTGCAGATAAGCCTATTTGTTTTAGAAGCTTCTCCAGTGAGTTTTTTTTTTCTTTCCTTTTTTTTAAAACAGCGCACGGGTTGGTAACTTTTAGCGCATGAAATATTTACCAGCTTTGGGACTCATAAACACATCTTCAATGGGTCGCCATGATTTCACGCCACATCACAAACATTTTAAGGCTTCAGAAGCGCTGCCTGTCATGGGCTGTCTTTTTTTTTTGTTTGTTTGTGGCTTTTAATAATATATTTTGGCTTCTCAGGGTCGACATACTTTGGCACTCATGGCGCATAAATAGGTAAATAACGCGCGTAAAGGTAAATAACGCAGCTGCAGCTCCAGCTGAGAGCAGAAAACTACTATAATAATTACCTCATTTCTTTATTTTTGCGTTTTCTTATTTGTATTGTTATTATTATCTGGAGAAACAGTCGGTGTCCATATGCTTCCATCACATATAGGCCCGTGTCACACTACAAACAAATCACTTTGCTCACGGCGCTCCTCGAATTGTCCTAATTAAGAGCTGTCTAATTAAATTACAGCCTTGAGTTAACCAATGGCAGCACTTGTTTCATTAGTGAAGCGGGCAGAGTGATGGAGAGAGAATCCATCCTGATTGCAGGATGGTGTCAATTGGCTAATTTACCGCCTTCCTTGCTGCAAGTCTTTGCAAAGGCGCTTTTGATGGTGTTAGATTAGGGAGAGGCGTGCGCAAAAGCCCGTGATATAGGTTGAGCTAATAGTTGCTTCCTATTGAGCCATGCAGGTCGAGAATTGCATCTCGCTGCCGAGTGAACTCTCAAAGAAATTCATGAATGTGGGCAGTGGCTTTGCGAGCTCCAATGGATCGGAGGAGCTCTCGTTGCAGGACCATCCTATTATATCCGCGAGTGACAACCTGGAGAGAAGTTCACCTCTGAAAAAAAACTCCAGGGAGATGACGAATCAGTCAGAGGCAGACAATTTCCCCGACTCCAAGGACGCATCGGGGGACGTCCAGAGGGGCAAACTCTCTCCTGGTCTGCACGGCGTCTCTGACATCCGTCATAATTTCGATGGAGCTGCAGGAGAACGGTGCATCTTCTCTCCGTCTACTCAGCCGCAGTCAGTCTCAGCAGCAGCAGCCGCAGCCGCAGCCCCCGGCGCCATGTTCCCCTATCCGAGCCAGCACGGACCCGCGCACCCGGCTTTCTCCATCGGAAGCCCCAGCCGGTACATGGCCCACCACCCGGTCATAACTAACGGAGCGTACAACAGCCTTTTAAGCAACGCTTCTCCTCAAGCCTACCCGGCAGCGGGCTACCCCTACGCGCAACAGTATGGACACACGTACCAAGGGGGGGCTTTTTACCAGTTCTCCTCCGCGCAGGCGGGACTGGTTCCGGGAAAGGCGCAGGTGTACCTGTGCAACAGGGCCCTGTGGCTGAAGTTCCACAGACACCAGACAGAGATGATCATCACCAAACAGGGCCGGTAAGTGGGCTCACGTGTGCTGCTGTCAAGCTCCGGGGGGATTTCACAAACTCAAAAGGATTATTACTATAATAATAATAATAATAATAATAATAATAATAA